GTTTGTTTTACTTTGTTTCTTTGTTCATGTTCTTACTGTATCTTATCTTATGTATAAAACATTAAAAATGCCTGCACACTGGTGCATTTACAAATTAATGTTTTATATTAATTTCATTAAATATTTATTTTACATTTCAGAATATAAAGCAATGTTAATTCAGCTCTTAATTTGTCATATATGTATATATATGAAACAAAAAGTACCGATAAGAATACCGTTAAAGTACCGAATCGATAAGCAGTATCGATAAGAGTAGTAATACCGTTAAAACCTTAACGATACCCATCCCTATTCAATAAGCCCTTATTCTGCTTTTTGTTTTAGTCCAAAGCCAACAACGACACTTATTTTTACGCAGAAAACACAACAGGAGTTGACCACTTTACAGAATATAAAACTAAGATACAGATAAAGAAAGAAAGCAATAAGACATAAAAATAAATAGAACATAATTAAGAATTGCTAAAAAGCTCAGGCCAGAAGACAAGACTTTAACTTCGATTTAAACTCATGTACAGAGGACAGGGATCTCAGATAAAGAGGAAGACTGTTCCAGAGCCTAGGCCCAACAACTGCAAATGCACGATCCCCTCTTGACTTCAGTCGTGTTCGAGGCTGAGCTAGAGAGTAAATGTTTGCGGACCGCAGACACCTGACTCATGTGTTCAGATTGAAAAGTTCAGACAGGTACGAGGGTGCAAGACCATTAAGGGATTTAAAGACAACCATCAATATTTTAAAATCGACTCTATGACGAACCGGCAACCAATTTAAAGCCATTAAAATAGGAGTAATATGTTGGCGTTTGCAGACTCCCATTAGAAATCTGGCTGCAGCGTTTTGCACCATTTGAAGCCTTGCAATAGAGGACTGGGAAATTCCAGCATATGAAGAATTACAGTAGTCCAATCGAGATAAAACGAATATGTGTGACTCTTTCAAGATCTTTGGGGGACAGAAACGGCTTTACTCTAGACAGAAGTTTCAGATGAAAAAAGCCTGACTTAACTACTGTGTTTATGTGTTGATCAAACTTAAAGTAGGAGTCTAGAGTTATTCCCAGACTTTTCACAGTTGGTTTGATATAAGAGTGCAGATTTCCAACATTAACAATGTTTTTTTCTTTCCCCACAGAGGGTCCAAACACAATTGCTTCAGTTTACTCGCATTAAGGCGTAGAAAATTTGAGGACATCCAGGATCTTATGTCATTTAGACAGGCAAGCAAGGTTTCTAAGCCTTTCTTGTCAGTGTGCTTAAAAGGCAGATACATTTGAGTGTCATCTGCATACAAGTGAAGAGATACTCCATGCCTTCTAAGAATAGAACCTAGAGGTAACATATATAACGAAAACAGAGTTGGGGACAGAATGGATCCTTGAGGAACACCACAGGTAAGAGGAGCTATGGATGAGACAGAGCCTCCAATGCCAACTGAAAAGGTCCTGTCAGTAAGAAAAAATTTAAACCAACTGAGGGCACTTCCACGGATGCCCACATAATGTTCAAGATGTGACAATAGAATGGCATGATCAACAGTATCAAATGCTGAACTAAAGTCTAATAGCATTAAAATGACTGAGTCTCCGGAGTCGACAGATAGCAGAACATCGTTCAAAACTCTTAATAGTGCAGACTCAGTACTGTGGTTTGTCCTAAAACCGGACTGAAATTGATCAAGGATAAGGTCTTTTCAATATTGGTCTCACTCTGGCATGTTTACAAAGAGCAGGAACAGATCCTGAGAGAAGGCTTTTGTTGATAATTAACAGGATCCATGCCCCAACACTGTAAAATATCTGTTTAAATTACTATAATAAATTAATATAATACTGATATAATATAATATCATAATTGATACTTTTGCCCCAACCCACCCCCTCCCCCTTCCGTCTCCCTTATTTTGGGACCCAAATGTTGACAGGTATGTCTTGGACACAGTGTAGGGGTACAGCGGGGGATGGACTTCACTTCATCATTACAGTCATCTTAAATTCAGCATAATTGACGTCCTGTCTATTAAAAAAAGCCAAAGAACACGGATCTCAATGGATGTCTCGCTGTTAAAATCAAAACACTTTCATTATGCCCATATTTCTGTTGTTATTTGTTTATTTATTCTGTTGTTTATATTGCTGTTGGGAGAAGAGAGAAAACATAAATCCATGCTGGAATAGACTATGTGGCATATCCAATATGGCTAGGGTAAACTAAATAATGAAGATATTGTTTCATTTGATTGTTAGGGTTACACAATTGTTTTTAATTTTAATACGAATAGACTAACAAAAAAGCACATAATTTGTGCTAAAATGAGCCTCAAATTCAACATAAGTTTAACTATAAAGATCCATTTCCAAAAGCACAAACATGAAATCATTTTTTTCATAGTAATTTTCACAGGTTGTGAAAATGAAAACATAAAATGCAATGAGAAACTATTAGAAATGTTTATTAAATATAGTTTTATTTATAAGTCATTATTTTGCAGAAGTTTGTAAAGGTACTATTTTTCATAGTCTGATTTTTGATGTATCAAAACCAGTTAGGGTCTTGACCCGCAAACATTTGACCCGTGGGTTCAATAGTGTATGGAAACAAAAAAAGCATTCAAAAAATAATTTTCCCGATTTTAAATCTGTAGATATTTTTAAAAAATTACAGTTCAATGACATTTGACCACTGGACTATTTTACATTTCAGAAATCACACACAAACAAGCGGCATATTTCACAGCATTTGGAGTTATGTAAAATGCCCCTTTATTGCATCATTTAAACAATACTCGCCAAAAGAAAGCTGCAGAATGTTAACGTGAAGGATGTGTGTAATATTTGCACCACGATGACATGTGCTCGTGCGTTGAGAGGAGGCGCGTGAGGAGAGGTTAAAGTTGACGCTTCCGGCCGGTGTGTCTCTTCAGCTCTCCGCTCCCCGCAGACAGTCCTTCACTCCGCACAGACATGTCCAACGTCTCCGATACCAAACTATACGACATTCTCGGGGTCTCCCCCTCGGTCACCGAGAACGAGCTGAAAAAGGTAGGGGTTCATGTGTCTTGCCTCGCTGCTCGTTATCGCTGTTTAACGGGAGCGAATCGACTGATTTTTGTGTGAGTCAGGAAGAGAGAGAGGAGGATTAGCACTGAGCTAAAGCTGCTGAGTTTGGCCTAGTGACTATAGTTACCAGATAACCGGACAAAACCGACGAGATGGGGTATTATTGTAGGATTTAATCAAGCGTATGTGCTGTCTCTTTACATATCCACTTATCCGTGTATGATTTATGACTTGGACTTGAACATGAAGAAACGCAGTCATAATGTATACATCTTCCTGTGTACTTAGCGGCTGAAAACATAGTTAGCATCAGCTCACCGTGTGGCCGGTGTGTAGGCCTTGACGCGGGGCTTTTCCCTTTACATATGTGTCATAATGTCAAAGAGGTCACATGTACAACGAATTTGACTCTTAACTAAAACTAAACTGACGCATATGATGGACCTGTGTGTATTTTGTGTGTTTTGTTTGTCAATCACATATAGCAGTGCTGTGTGTTTAGCGCAGAGGGGTTTCTACTCCGGCACAAAACATAACGAGTCTCTGTCTGGTAACTCGTTAAACTGATGGTGACTATCAGTGACTAGCGACAGTATGGCTCACTAGCCTGGGTTGTTTTGTATTATGATTAGTTGCGTTGTTCAAGGCCGTTGTTATGGGCTTAATACGAATATGACGCACAAACAAATTCCTAAGAGTGGTTCTCAAGTCATAAGTTAAAATCTCGAGGGATATTTGCTGGAATATTAAGGCAGGTGTAACTCGTTTTACTTAAACGCATATTCCTTTTCTTAAAACAGTGGTTTAAATGTGGCATGTTTCATTGTGTTGGATGCTTTCTGAAGTGAAACTAACCTTCTAAAACCAATATATTTCAGGCTTATCGGAAATTAGCAAAGGAATATCACCCGGACAAAAACCCAAATGCTGGAGACAAAGTAAGATTTTTTTATTCCTATTTTTGTCAAATATAAAGCATTTTGAAATGAGATGTAGAAAGCTAAAACACTGATAAATAAGTATGATTGATCATTTTGTACACATGTGAGTTAAACTATTATGTAAAATATTTTATGAATATTATGCTTTTAAAGTATTAGTTCAACCAAAACAAATGTCCTTTACTTCAGAGATGCACTGATTGACCGGTTAGTGATCGGAATCGGCCGATTTTTCGCTTGACCGGGCGGTCAATCTCACGTCTTCCCGATTCCGAACCGATCCTTTTATTGCCAGCGGCGCCGGCAATGACGTCACAGTCACGTGTAAACATGTCGTTTCGTGTGAGAATGATTCTAATTTTAAATGCATTCAGTGTAAACGGCGACTGATAATGTATTTGTCATGCCAGATGAGGCTTGCACAGCCTGAGTGAATGTGGGAGAGAGAGACAGCAGCACACACAAAGTAACTCACAGAAATTTATAGATGCATACTGCGGTAAAAAAAAAAAAAGAAGATATTTACAAAATGTGATTTAGGTAAGCAACATTATACGGCCATGTTTCCCCGATTATCAATATCAACACGATTGCAATGTGACACTGATTTTGTACAATAGTATTTCAATAAACGAGAAGTTAAAATTTAAGTTAGATTTTAGACAAAGTATTGACTATTTTTACTCAATTTTGCTGACGAAAATAGTTCCGATCAAAGCCACAGCAGAACTGTTGTGTGTCTTCGAGCAACACACAGTAGTGTTTCCTTACTGAATGAATCCACATTTTTTGAACGAATCGAGTGAGTCAATGATTCAGTGGCCCATTCATCAGGAGAGTCATTTGCCTCGTTTCTGAATGAATCAGCTGTTTGAGTGAATAGGTTGAATGAATGAATAAATGACTCGCTCATTAAAACAGACATTTGCCGCCACCTACTGGTGGTTTAGTCATATTTAAAAGTATCATTGCATTTTTTTCAACATTTATTTGTTTAAAAATTTTAAATATTAATCTTATAAAGTTATTTCTGCTTTTGAAATTTAGAAGTGTAAATGCATTTATGGCACCTCAGCTTCATCAAACTGTCTGTTAGGGCTGGGCGATATGACGATATCGTATATCATCTCGCAAGTATCGCGACGTCGACGCCAACAGTCATGTAACGGATGTTTATCGACATTATCGGGGGGGGGAGAAATGACAAATGATAAACCTAGTAAGTTGCAAAAAATATTTTACAACGCCCCATAGTCACCATACGGGTCTTTTTGCATGCAAGAATTAAATAATTTAGTAGGAGGGTTAAGAATCGAAAAGCTATTTCAATTTCGGATATCAGATTCATATGGTCAGGAATCAAATTACTTGTTATAAAATTACATTTCGATTCAGCTTCTCGATTTCTGTATGCACATTTATTGTGATTTCAAAAGATTCAACTGCAAGAAGACGAAATAGAACTCCCCTCGGCACTCGTGTGCTGTTTTCTGTGCTGCGCACACTCTCACTCACTCACTCACACAAAAATAGGGATGCGCCAATTTTTTTATTTTTTGTCAGATCGGGTATCGGTCGGAGAGGGCCGATCCGTATCCAAATTTGTGCGTATTATTCTGTTACTTCTGAAGCCATACGATAGCTTAAAGGGTTACTTCACCCCAAAATGAAAATTTTGTAATTAATCACTTACCCCCATGTCGTTCCAAACCCGTAAAAGGGTCATATTTTGGATGAAAACCGGGAGGCTTGTGACTGTCCCATTGAATGCCTAGTAAATTACACTGTCAAGGTCCAGAAAAGTATGAAAGTCAGAATAGTCCATCTGCCATCAGTGGTTCAATTTTGTAGCCATTTTGTAGAATATCCACTGGACGCAAGCAGCATACGCTCTTCTGTGTCAGCCGCGCTGCACGGATGCGAAAAGACCGAATAAATTGTACCGAACAATGATATGATGCGATCAAATAGCAACCAGCGCAGAGTGAGAGGCACGCACTCTTTATTATGCAGCACACACGTCAGCAGTGTGGAAGCATTTCAAATAAGAGAAAGACGCAAAAATCATTATAATTCTGACAGCGAGAGACTGTTTAGGACTGCATCGCATGTCTTCAATGAGAAGAGGAAGGGGTGATTGTTGCAGGTTACTGTATGAGAATTGAAATCGCGAAATGGCCTTAAACAATTAGTAAATAAACTACAGAACTTTTTCTAATACACGCGCGCATTGCATGTATTCTGACAGTGCTGCACGAGCTCGCAACAGATCTGCTTGTTAACCAGGGTTCAAAGGTCAAACCGCGTGGAAAATCTGCGCTGATACAGTCGTCAGTTTCTCAGTCTGGAAAAAGCAAGAACTCTTATCAACATTCATAAATGTTAGTATTGTAATTTTACTGTTGTTCTGTATAATACAATAAAAAGTAAGGCCATAATACTGATGATAATCATTACAACAGCTCTGTTTTAATACATTTATTGTAACATTCCCATATAGTGTTCAAATTAGGATCTGTAATATTTTCTAATGTTTTAAAAGTCTCTTCTCAGCAAGGCTGCTTTTAATTGTAGTTACTTTTTTTATATATATATATATGGTGTGAAAAAGTGTTGGCCCCCTTCCTGATTTCTTATTTTTTTGCATGTTTGTCACACTTTAATATTTCAGATCATCAAACTAATTTAAATATTAGTCAAAGATAACACAAGTATACACAACATGCAGTTTTTAAATGAAGGTTTTTATTATTAAGAGAAAACTAAATCCAAAACTACTTGGTGTTCACTTGTGTTATCTTTTACTAATATTAAAATTAGTTTGATCTGAAACATTAAAGTGTGACAAACATACAAAAAAATAAATAAAATCAGGAAGGGGGCCAACACTTTTTCACACCACTGTGTGTGTGTGTGTATATATATTTATATTTTATATAGATACGCACGCATGCATATGCGCCTGATTCAAGAAGGGGGTCTGATGGCCAAAAATTATTTTATTAATTTTAAGTTAAATTGTGCTGCTTTGGTAAAGTGTCTGCTAGAATGTTAAAAATGTTCAGTGTTAAATATTTTTTTAATTGTTGTTTTGTAATTGTAGTTTTTTTCCTTTGAAAAGCAAGACAAAACGGTAAAAAGCACATTTTGGCTTTTTAATTTATGCAATGGTGAAATTTTTTT